GGAAGTACGGGAGGGATCTTTCTCAAATTTTAAATGTAGGTTCCCCTTGATCCCTCGTTGTGTATGTTATATTTTGAGACTGATCATAAAAACAAAATGGATTAAAAGAAGAACTAAACAGATCTTTCTCATATTGCAATGATCGATTCTATTTCTTTCACATTAAGTACTGTACTAGTAAATATGTGAAATGACAAACTCACTTTGAAGGTTGGCTTTCATACACATCAGTATTAAGTTTAGATCAAAAGTTACCTCAAGGTGCATTTACTGTTAACATGACTCGATCAAACAGATTAGAGGAAAGAAGAGAAAAGATCGAACTGACAAAGAACTAATGAAGATGGTACAAAGGTGGGCGCCAAGATCCCTCTGGGATCTCTTGTTTACAAATGTGAAGCTCACATAGCCCACTTCATCATGCTTATACCAATTTAGTACAGTTTAATTTTTATAATTTTTTTACATATCATTATACAGGGGTTAGCCTTTTAACAAAAATATCACCCATGGCCACAACCCCCTACTGTACACTGCTACCTCAAAGGTTGCATGAATAAAATAAAAAACGCATAGGGTGTAGGGTAATGGGAATTGATCTTAACCACTTTGAAGGTCACAGAGATTAATTACAGATGAGTGATACGGGCCCATTAGGTTACTTGTTACAGTTAACAAGAAAAAACACAGGTGAGCTATACAGGGCTTTAATTGTGCCTCTTTTCAACTAGTTATGTCTGAAGAATATACATTAGCAAACATACTGGTGGAGGTTTTGTATACAGGTGTATACAGGTGTATGATCTTCTCCTTACATTGCCTCTATCTCACATGTGGAAATTTTCTCCGGGTACTCTAGTTTGCCTTTTAATATAATTAAGGGCCAGGTGCTCTAATTATATAAAGTAATCACAGTGTCTTTAATTAACTGGGATGTAGTGTTGGTTACATTTTACAGTATGAATCGGTGAAGGAATGAAAACATAATCTTGGCAGTTTGCATTAACAGATGGTAAAATAATATCTAACCAAAATGATAAGGTAGTACATGCATGATATCCTTTGTTTTCATCGCTTTATAAATCTGTTCTACTGGTATGTTATTTCAGTATATGGTGGCGTTTTTATGGCTATGTCTGACTGAAGCTGATAAGAAGAAACACAGCACCATATCCTTTATGAATCTGTTCTACTGATATATTATTTCAGTTTATGAGATCGTTTGTATGGGGATGTCTGACTGAAGCTGATAAGAAGAAATACAGCACCATATCCTTCCCTGCCCTGGGTACTGGAAACCTTGGTTATCCCAGGGATTTGGTGGCCAAGACCATGTTTGACACAGTAAACAGCTACTTCAATGAAGGGAAGGATTCCAGTATTGAGACTGTTAGCTTTGTGGTTTATCCCAAAGATACACCAACTGTCAAGGTAGGATATTTTTATTGATGTCAATGGCACTAATATCATGACATGAAATATTTTAAGTCTGTGCATATATATGGGTAAGACACAACTAATACCCTTGGTGCAGGAATCTAATCTGTGTAAGTTACAGATGTTGGTTACCTAGCTAGGAGCCAAATCCATTCTTGACAGTCTAACTGTCACTGTAACACTGTGTTACATGCATTGTAAAATTGTACACAATCTTAATTATTGTGATGAGAAATTACAATAATAAATACAGTGTACATTATTGCATACGAGCGTTCCGCAATTTTTTCATTCCGTAATATTGATCAACAAATTGTACCTAATCGCACAGTTGTGCGGAGAGAAGCGCACAACGGGGCGAACAATTGTTAAATCACCCAGTTGTGCGCACATTGTGTGGACGATGTGCGGACGGTGTGTGAACGATGTATGCACAGTGTGCGCATGCTATTTTTGGTGCGTTGTGCGGTCACACAACTGTATCAGCAAAATGCTAGAAGCTCTGTCGTGCCATCTGGTGGCTTTTTAGATACATATTTGAGTGTTTTAATTTATTTTACAGACAACATTTTTGGTTGATTCATTCACTTTATTATTGGAAAGCATCGCAAAAATTCAAATATTTTTCAAATGCGAAAGACAGCTCTCCTGATATTTAAAATGTCGGAGCCAATATGAACAGATTAATTTCCCATTTTTTCTGCTGTTGTGTCCCCCAAACCCTTTTTATATCATCAACATTTCTCAGAACATAAGATGACGATAGCTCCTATATCGATGTTTAGATATATGTATACATATATATCCAGGAGCCCTACTGAAGATAGGCCTAGGACTACTCTTAAAAATATACTTTATCAGTTCATGACAGGGACAAATGAAGGCCTTTATAATGTCACAGATTAGCGAACAGCTACAGGTACATGGCTTTTTTAGCCCACCATCATCTGATGGTGGGCTATTCAAATCACCCTGCGTCCGTGGTCCGTCGTCCGTCGTCCGTCCGTTGTCCGTCGTCCGTCGTCCGCCGTCCGTCGTCCATCCGTAAACATTTCTTGTTATCAGTATTTCTCAAGAAGTACCACAGGGATCTTTCTCAAATTTTATATGCAGGTTCCCCTTGGTCCTTAATTAGCTGTGCAGGGCAACTTTTGAGACTGATCGTATAAACAACATGGCCGACAGGCAGCCATCTTGGATTTTGATTGTGAAAGTTTGTTATCGCTATTTCTCAAGAAGTACCAGAGGGATCTTTCTCAAATGTTATATGTAGGTTCCCCTTGGTCCTTAGCTGTGCAAGGCAACTTTTGAGAATGATCGTATAAACAACATGGCCGACAGGCAGCCATCTTGGATTTTGATAGTGAAAGTTTGTTATCGCTATTTCTCGGGAAGTACGGGAGGGATCTTTCTCAAATTTTAAATGTAGGTTCCCCTTGATCCCTCGTTGTGTATGTTATATTTTGAGACTGATCATAAAAACAAAATGGATTAAAAGAAGAACTAAACAGATCTTTCTCATATTGCAATGATCGATTCTATTTCTTTCACATTAAGTACTGTACTAGTAAATATGTGAAATGACAAACTCACTTTGAAGGTTGGCTTTCATACACATCAGTATTAAGTTTAGATCAAAAGTTACCTCAAGGTGCATTTACTGTTAACATGACTCGATCAAACAGATTAGAGGAAAGAAGAGAAAAGATCGAACTGACAAAGAACTAATGAAGATGGTACAAAGGTGGGCGCCAAGATCCCTCTGGGATCTTTTGTTTCTGACTTTTGAGGCTTTGCCTTTTTCATATTACATTTGCAGGCGAAGTGAATGTAAAACTCAGATGGATTCTATACACGCATATGTCCACCCTAAAACCTATAACAATAATGCAAAATACAAATCAATCTACAATTGTTATTCGGAAAACCTTTAATTGGTGAAAAAAAAATACACAAAAATACACTTATCCGGAAAAACAACCCGCCTCCGTTGACTTAGTTGTATTTCATTACAATCGCTTGTTAAGATGTTGCCGTGTATCGACCTCGCTTGTATTCCCGATATCAGGGGTAACAACAGTCAGACTGATCAGAACTGTGTTCGGTCGGTCCGGCATTACTAGGCCCTAATACTAATACTGTCTAATAGCCGTTTTAGACTCGTCGATGCCTAAGTTAATGTCGCAAGAGGATGTTGTTTTATGTGAACCTACAGCTGCTTGAAGGATGTCATGTATCAACTTGTTTTTCGAAGATGATGCGGGTTTTTCGTTGGCTTTGCAGCCATGTTCCGCTGTTAACTACTTTAAAAATACTAATAATAAAATCGGCACCAGGTACCCTAGGTTGGAACTTCCGGATACGTACTGATTGTCGGCTGTCGGTTATACAGTTAAATTTAATATCTTTTTCAATTGAACCACACATTATTTAATCACTTTTCCTTTTCCGAACAACAAAATAACTAAATAAATAAATGAAAATATAATAGTATATTTGAATTTTTGATGTGCATGTAACTGCTTATTTGCTTACGTGGCAGCTATGCGCCTGCCTATTTCCTACTTAAGCTTGGTGTTTTATTATCTTTACCAAAACTTAATGAAAATCTGCTCCATTTCTGGAAGTGATTAAAGAATTCTAAGACCTTCACCAATTATTAATGTCAATTGTTTTCTCATGCATCTTTTTAGCTAAGTTAACTTTCCTCATCATAGAAGAAATTTTGATAAAACAGTACAAAACTATCACATGGTATTTGGCCTGTAACCAAGATGGGATATCAGTTTTGTTGAAATAAATTACCTTGACCCACTTTCAAAATCACAGAATCAATCTTTGTTTTATACTTTGTATTTCATTTTGTTTTTAGTCTTGAATTTGATTCTTATGTCTTGAAATGGAAAGTTTTAGTGCCAGAAAAATTACCTAGTATACAGTAACTGATAGGTTTAGTAGTGTGATGATATCTGTACAGTAGAATGCTGGGATAATAAGCTATCAAGATTGTTCAAATGAATGACCTTGATTCACTTTAAAGGGGCTGGTCGGGGAAAAAATTACAAAATAAATGGGTCTAAAAGCGTTCTCTGGCCTTCCAATAGTTATACCACGGCAATATGATGGTCGAGTTCTGCTTGCAATGTCCAGTTTTGACCACTGAAATCTCAGTCATCAAGTCCTCTTTCAATTATATTTTGGATGCATACTTTGGAATATATTTATATTAATTTGTTTCTTTTGAATTAATTCTAACAGTCCTAGGATCATGATACTTGGTCTGAAGCATGTTGAATTGAAGAGCTTTCAGCTGTTCTGAAATAAATGACCATGATCCACTTTCTAGCTCAAAAGTGGTCCTATTTATATAAACATTTAAAACAATTTCAGAACAACAAAAAGGTCTTGTTCATCATCTCTACTGGCCAGTAGCATGTAGAAACTAAGGAGGACTTGAGACATTCCTCTAATCAGATCCAATACATTTTACCATTGGCATTGCCAAGAATCTAGTTTGTAAAGATTGATCTTTATCAGTGATTATCCTTAGAGAGATTTAAAATTATTGCTCACAAAATATAGAGAAAATGCCTGTATGCATTATTCTCGATCAGAGGAAATATTGCACATTGAACTATTTATGCATTTAAAAGACATAATTGGTGCATGACCGTTCATGGTAATTTTGCACAACTTAAGGGAAGGACAAAGTAGATGGTACTCTGGTTATTACGTGCTAGTAGTAAAAAGTTATTTATTAAATAAAACTGAACTTAGAAATCACATTATGCGACAATTTAACATATGAGACATAGTATAGCTGGCAAACCTATATATTATTTAACTAGCCAACTCATTTCAAATAATTATGTTTATAATTACTTAAATGCTGATGTGTATAAACATTGATTTGATAAGCAAGATATAGACATTCAGCTCATAGCACAACTTAGTACTTATATAAAAACTGTATAAATATATATATAAGTATATCATACATTTCAAATTATATTGCATTGTGAGCTTATTGGACAGTTAAGCATCTGTGTTGTGCCTTTCTAATGTTGTCAGTGTTTTTACTCACCTGCTTCAAAAGGCCATGTGAGCTATTGCAATCTCCTGTTCATTAATTGTCTGTCTGGATAACAGCTCAGACGGACTATGTCACACAAAATATTCATATAGTTATGTTTTGAAGACAGTTCCTTGTTCAGGTAAAGTTTAGCTTGGTTATTCCAGGGTGGACCCTATTGACAGTCATATTTGAAGAGCAACAGTGAATAACATTAACACTGTTGGGAAATACAGGCCTGGTGGGCCTTTCACTCTGATTGAAAATGTGAACTCAATCCAAATGGTTTCTTTTTCAGGCCTTTCAAGATGAAGAAAAAAAGCAAAGACAAAAAGTTTTGGAAGGTAAACTTATATCAGAAAGATGTCATAAGGTATATTTTTGTTTAAACTGGTGACGGCCAGGACATCTTATAAGGCCAAAAAATGTGGGATACTGTGTTGATTGATATTGGATACAGTGTACAAAATGGTGGCAGTATGGCCTCTTGGTCACTTAAACTGTGTCTAGTTTTAACCTTTACGAAATGACCAGTACAGTAAATGTATTAAGCGACCACCTAAGGGAAATTAAAAAAATGGTTGTTTAATAAAAGTGGTCGCTTAATAAAGTTTGACCATATCTTGTACAGAATTACACAACCGACTATAACCAAACGACTCCTTATTCAGACAACTGTAAACAGACCACCACCCCAAGCACACATTTACACATGTATGTACAGGTAGTTTAAAACAACATCGTTCAACAGATCAGGTGAATAACTATAAACAATATAGTCGAGTGATAGTTATGACAGTAAACAAACAACTAAGAGTGTTTGAAAAGAATTGTCATTTCACTCAGAACAAACGATCGACGGAGACTTGTTGAAGTTGTCAACTTACACGACTGTGTTTTCTGTAATTACCATGATTTAAGCTTATTACACAAAATATATTGTTGTTGAACAACTTTTCCGTCAACTTTTCCTTTAAACAACTTCTTCTGAAGTACGGACAGGCCTAGAGTCATGATATTTGGCTGAAAGCTTCGTTGGTAGGAGCCCTACAACGTGTGAGAACGAAAATGACCTTGACCTGTTTTCAAGGTCACAGGGGTCAAATATGTCAAAAACTTCCAACGACTTCTTCTGAAGAACTAAAAGGTATAGAATCTTCATATTTGGCTGATGGCTTCCTGGGATTGAGCCCAACAAAGTTTGAGAATGAAAATTACCTTGACCTACTTTCAAGGTTGCAGGGGTCAAATGTGTCAAACACTTCAAACGACTTCTTCTGAAGAACTGAAAGGTATAGAATCTTTATATTTGGCTGGTGGCTTCCTGGGATAGAGCCCAACAAAGTTTGAGAATGAAAATTAGTTTGACCTACTTTCAAGGTCACAGGGGTCAAATATGTCAAA